TATGGTCGCAGTCTCCTTTCGATTTATAGAAGTAGGTTGACCTCGTTGTCGCAACTTGGTTTTGTTGTCAGGGCGACTTAGTAGAACGCACCTAGTTCGAAGTCGTCTGCCATAGCAGTTGTCATGATTCCCAGCATCAGACAGCCGACTTGGTACATTCTCAAACGTTTCGCCGGCATCATAGTCGGCATCATCAGTGAGCTTTGCCAATCTTCTCACCAAGCTACGAACTCGTCAAAGATACAAGTGAAGCCACGGTTTGCTTTGCACTGACTGTCCTTCTGCACAAAGTCCTAGAGTCGCCTGGGCCAAAGGACTTAGGCAGCTGGCGCCCAGCTGATGTTCCAGAAGTAGCCTGGCTCCATGCTTTTGCTGGATTGAAAAATCCATCCAACACCAATAAATGGTCATTACAATCCGGTTATGTGCTGCACAGGCCGTGTAAGAACGAAGGAAAGGAATCCGTCTGACCTCATTTTTTCAATTATTTTGTGATTTCACGAAGACCTCGAAAAACTGACTTTGTCTGACATCCTATGCCAAAGGCGTCATGACAATTTCCAGCTTTGTGACGTTGATTTGGTATATTCCTGGGCGTTTCGCCGGCTTCATAGACGACTTCGGCAGTTGGCTCTGCTATTCCAGACACGATGCAAAAGAATGAGACGTAAAAGAGACTTATTAGTGCTAAGAATGGAAAGGCCGACTGACAATGCCACAGATTTAATCATGAAAAATTTTCACTTCAATTTTTAGATCGCATAAAGCCACTTAAGGTGATGCTCAGAAAGGTACTTATTCCGAATACAGCTGACCGAAATGCCTCTTCCACCAGGCCTCGATCCACTAGGCGTCTCTTCGAACCATAAAACAGTCGCTAGCTTTCGACGGAACATTCGGTTGGGTTAAATGCGCCAATTTGGACAGCAAAAGTCCTCACGTGAACGATTTCCCGTTGACTGGATCTCGCCTCAGAACACAACCAGAGGATGCCCACTCTCCGTGTTTTCGTCCTTTGCGCTGCAGAGTAAAATGCGCCCTAAGTCACGTGTCGAGGTCTCGGGGGAAGGTGGCCTATTGACGTCGAAATATTCTATACTTGGAAGATGGATGCACCCTCGCATGCCTCTCAAGGTAGACCAGATGTGTTCGTCGTATGCACTGATGTTCTCCTCCCATAAAGAGCCCATTAGGCCGGCATACAATGTGGCTGTCAATCCCTTTCGGCTACGGAGCAGTCTCGCGGAATATGTAAACTTGCCTTGGCTTAATCCTGAACAAGTTAAGCCGTCACATTTCCTGCTTGTCTCTAAAGCCAGTAGGCCGGCTGAGCAAATGCGAACCTGGATAGCGAATTAATGGAATGTAATTAGTTACGCCTTATTCTAGTGGGATTTCGAGCATACTCGAGGGCAATATCTAGTTGGAAATCAAACGTTTCAAAGCGAAGGGATTAAGTAGAATTTTCGTTTTATTAGTAGATTTTCAAGACTACCAGTATACATTATGTATGAGATGTATTCACCCTATTTCGGTCTTGGTGATGAAGGACTGGAAGTTGACTTTCCCCAAAATGACATTGACAGGCCTCAAGTCTACATTGCATTATAAATAGCCTTGCTTTCTAATATGTATTATCATGCAGGGTGAAGTGACCTCGCCTATATCTTATCAGCACCCACAGCGGGACTCGAACCCAGACCGTGGTAATGCAACATATAGCTTACGCCATATTGCCAGGAGGCGGATGTGAATTTCGTATCATCATCTTAAACGAAATAGGGCAAAGACATTCCACATATGTAGTCCCGAAAACCAATTTATTAAACTAAAATAAGTAATATAGTCGATTGCTGTAGCACAGTGGTTCCCAAACTTTTCCTAGTCGCGGCGCTCTTTTTCAATTAAAATTTTTCCATGGCACCCTACTCTAAGAATGACTATTGGTAAATAAAAGATAAAAATAAATAAAACTCGTGTATCCTCATTATTTTTTACTTTATTAACATTACATTAATAGTTAATAAATAATGTGATGGATGAGCCTGCAAATCACTACACATTTTCTCAAATTGAAGTTTTTACAATATTTCGCGGCGCCCCTGTAAAGAAGCCGCGGCTCCCCGGCTACATCGACAATCCCACCATTGAAAAGTGATATGGGAAAGGCATGTGCTTCCTTCGAATTCACATCTGCCCTATGACCTGAGAGAACGCATGAAAGTGTGGCGGAGTGGTTGACATGCCGATATTTTACGCTTCATTCCCACAATCCTGGTTCGAGCCCCTCCGTGGGTGCTGATGGAACCTAGGCGAGGGCGAGACTTGGTTCACTCCACTCTGGATGAAAACATCCTCCGGTAAGCAAGGCTATTTAAAATTAAGTAAAATTGTCCTTCACTGCATTTTATTCAAACATCTTCAGATAATTTGAAGAAGCTTCTTCGCGAGTTTAAATGATCTGGGATAATCGAAGATATGTAGGCCAAGATGATGTGGCCCTCGGTATAGTAACAGCCTCCTTTTAGAAGTGGGTTGACCTCGTTGTCGCAACTTGGTCTTGTTTTCAGGGAGACCATGTAGAACGCACC